AGTTATTCAATCTTTTTATTTGAAAACTAATTGAAAGAAAACTTTAATTTTTTTTTCTAAATTTTACCACCAACTGAAAGATCCTTTTTTTTTTTTCAATAACTTTTTGAACACTACATTATACAATGGCCACATTCATCTAAATTAAAATTTTCCTGAGTGAATAATCCGTGCATTGAAGGGAAACAACACAGCAGATGCAAAATCAGAGACAATGGCTAACTCAGACCTTGATTTTGAAATCTTCAAATGCCTACAAAATATAAACAACCAGGCAAAAATACACGATTCAAAATTCCATCATAGGTACCTAAACCAAATTCCTGAAGCTATTCTGGAATGAGGAATGAATTGACAGGCTGAAAGCTGTATTTCCAGACTCAAAACTGGCAGCCATACAAGACCTCTTCTTTTCCAGGACGGTGTTAAGACACAATGCACCATCTACAGGACCAAAGAGGTCTCACCAGACCACCTCTTGGAATGTATTGGAGCATCAAGACAGGACCTATATTCCAACCCTACCAAGATTATAAATTTAATCCATGAATTCAGTCTCATGACCTTGTATAGTTATATAATGGAATAATAAAAAAGGTTAATTAAATATTTCTGGGGCCAATCCCATGGCAGGAAGTTTCACTGGGTCATTAGTGAGAGTTATTAAATCAAATAAGTTATCAAATACAGTATTGTTGGAGCACTCTACTTCAGATAAGTCCCCAAGTCAGGGAAGTCCTGATAAATGTGGTAGCCGAGTTCCCTTCTTTCTTCCCCTCCTTTCACTGTTAGATTGAATGACAAGGTACAATATTTGGACTATAGATTAGTTACACAAGGTAACAAGACCAAGCCCAAATAAACAAATAGTGCAACATTTTGGTAACAGTGTTGTTACCATCATCAGACAAAAGTGCTGAATGAATGAAAATACAATTTAGATTATAGATTAAAAACACAAGGTATATCACCTTATTATTATTATATTATTTTTTATTCATTCAGTACTTTTGTCTGACGTTAGTAGCAGTGTTGTTACTGAAACGTCGCATATTTTATTTATTTGTATTGGGTCTTAGTGATTGCTAGTTGGCCATTCAAATCACATTTTGATATATAGAACCAACCAACTCTAGGTGTATAGGAGTTGTAATGGAATTTTATAGAAAACTCTTATTACAATAATTGATTTTATTCTTCCTCTGACATACAAATGATCAGTTACAAGAGGGATGATATTGAAGAGGGAAAATTGGTCGTTTCCAGTGTCTCAGGTTGGTCCCATTGAAGCCAGCTTGTGGGAGGCCAGGTACATGCTGAGAGGGGGAAGATATTGAAGAGAGTTGAGGAGGGAAAATTGGTCATTTCCAGTGTCTCAGGTTGGTCCCATTGAAGCCAGCTTGTGGGAGGCCAGGTACATGCTGAGAGGGGGAAGATATTGAAGAGGTTTGAAGTGGGAAAATTGGTCATTTCCACTATCTCTGATTGGTCCCATTGAAGCCAGTTTGTTGGAGGCCAGGTACATGCGGAAAGGGGGAAGATATTGAAGAGGTTTGAAGAGGGAAAATTGGTCGTTTCCAGTATCTCTGGTTGGTCCCATTGAAGCCAGATTGTGGGAGGCCAGGTACATGCGGAAAGGGGGAAGATATTGAAGAGGTTTGAAGAGGGAAAATTGGTCGTTTCCAGTATCTCTGGTTGGTCCCATTGAAGCCAGCTTTGGCGTTAAAAGATGCCAGGTACATGCTGAGAGAGGAGCAGGGGTTTCTATTTCCAGACGACAATAGAAAGATGATTTGGGGCTCAGTATTGGTTAAAGAAATTCCATTTTAAATCCAAGTGATATCTTGTAGACATCAACAGGCTGGATGTAAGAAGTCTTCAGCTGGAGGATCAAGGTTCACTGATATCAAGGGATGAACTTATTTTTCAAGAGGCTTGTTGATCCAAGCAAAAGATGAGTAGGATATTCTCCATCATTAGAGCAATTTCTTCTTGGGATTCCCCGCAGGAGATTAGAAGGTTGGTTTCCAGCAGGCAGGGATAAGACTTCAGTTGATCAGAGGACTTCAAGGGACCTGAGGATGAGAGCCTGGCATCAGGGAGGGGACCATCCTAACTGTGTTGAGACGGACTAGTGAAAGAGATGGAATGCCCAAAGACAGTTTTTCTAGACCATGTCTAACTCATTTCAAGGCTGTAGTTCTGCCAAGTTACTTAATGGTAGTGTACCCAACAATTATGCTCACTGCAACATTAGTTAACTCTGCTGTATTAGTAGCACCTAGGGTCAGATCCAGTACCACTCTCTATTCCAGCATTCAGAATTATATTGGAATATGCCACGTTTTAATTATACTATTGTCTCTTTCTGTATTGCCGGGCTTAGGGACCTGATAAAAAAATTTTGAATTAAAAATGCCAATGGAAAAAGAATTTTGATTGAAAATGCCAATGCTTAAAGCCCTATTCCCTTAAGCCCTCAAAAGGTCCCATAGCCTGGCAAAGCAAAATGAAGCAATCTTATAAATAAAGCGTGGATATCCAATATAATCTGAATATCTGAAATAGAAAATGGCACAAGGCCAAACCAAAGATGCTACGGACACAACAGCTTTAACCAACGCTACAGGTAAACATAACAGTGGATACACTACCAAAAAACAGCCTGACAGAATTACAACCAAGAAATAAGCTAGGCACAGCCTAGGAAAAACACGCCTGAGGACATCCATCTCTGACACTAGCGAAATCTCAACTGCAACAATGGACAATCCTTGGATACCAATTCTTTATCTTTTTAAAAAATCTTATATGAGAATTATTATATTGAGAGACATCACAAGTTTAAAAATTTGTGGAAGAGTAATGGAGTACATTAAGACAGCAATGCTATAAAACAACAGTACGATAAGACAGCAGTACTATAAGTGGGAACATTACACAGAAGTGGGACATAGAAGGTAGATAGGTTAATTATATGACACCATTTCTCAACCTCTTTGGCCCTCGGACCTGTACACTCTGTGAAACTCAGTCCTCTCTATACTGTGTTTTTATTAAATAAACTATACTAAATATTAAAAAGAACTACATAACACATGTATCTTTTTAAACTCTTTTGCAATTTGTTGAGCGCTAACATCAAATGATGACATTTTAAAAAATATATACTTTTTTTCAATTTAGAAAATATATAATAAATTAAATTATATACAAACTTTTATTTACAATATTTAATCTATCTTCTTTATATATATATATTATATATATGGAATGGTCTAAATCGTTGGCTTCCAACCCCTACGACCCAGGTTCGATTCCTGCATTTGGCACTTTTTCTGATTTAAAAAAAAAATGCTCCAATGGCCTCCGATTCTTGCAAAAATCCAACCCTACCAGCGAGTGCAAGTAATCGAACAGGGCTCTGGCACATTTGTAAGCGCAAAAGTCGAACTGTTTTTCACCTGGGTAGACATGGGGTGCACTTACAGTAAAAGCAGTCGCCTACTTCTACCCACCAGGATTATCATGGCCTGTACCACATATACTAGGGAAAGCAAAATATATTTTACAGTAAAACCCCTCTATAGTGAACTCCAATGGGAAAGAGCTTTTGGTTCACTATAGCCACGGTTTGGCCATTTTTAAAAACTTTTCTAAATTTTTAGACCATATAATCAAAAAACAGCCATACAAACAGGAAAAGGCAGCCACTTAATAATGATCACTTTGTTTTAATTCCCTAAATTGACCTATTTCTTTACAGTAATGCTGAATATCAAAAGAAGTCATTTGATAAAATGTTCTTCTTATCATTAGCATACATGTTTATATATAAACCTATGTATTATTGAAAAATTAGGTCAAATCCCCTAGGCAAAACATTATTAATTATTAATTTAAAAGGTATAAGAGTATATTAGAACATCTTTCTTAAATAATATAATACTAAAAATTTATTTGAAAAAATGCCTCTAATACCTTGTGGTTTGAAAGTGGAAAGTAAAATTTGAAAATCAGAATTGTCTAAAAATATTGTTATTTCCATCAAAGGAATAAAGCTCCGTGTATTCTGAATCAATTGAGGATGATTCAAAAGTATCCAATTCAGAAAAATCGGACGCGAAACATGTTGATACGATAGAGCGATCGGTAAAATTGCGAATAAAAAACGCCAATGTGCAAACACCAATTCGGTAGGGAAACGGCTGGTAGGGGGAATATCCACGAACCATGAATTCCATTCTAAAATGAATTCCATTCTAAAAATAGAACTGTATTGGTAGTTTTTGAGACTTTATAAGTCGATTTGTTTTTGGCCCATGAGACACGGGTTGGGGAACTTGTTCTTCCAATTACAGTTTCCACATATTCTTCTGAAGTGTATATTAAATATTATTTTAAACCTGTTATTCAAACCATTTCTGGCTTTAAAATTATTTGGAATTATTTTTTAGCCTAGGTTAAACTTGATAGAGAACGCTTCTAAAAGGGCATGCTGCCACTGTTTTTTTTTCTAGAACGCCATTCTTTGTTTCTTTTCTTTATTTTGGAAGCCATTTGTATTTTTTTTTCTATTTCAAAATTGTCAAATGCAAAGATATTCTATTAAATAAAAGTATAATGTGTGAAAATTTACACAACTTACAGCAAAAATAGAATGGAAATGAAAACAAACAATGCCGCAAAATATTTTTTGAAATCGCGATCCGTTAGCTGAAACATGCTAACAATTTTGTTGTTAAATTTTTTTTTAAAACCAAATTTTAGTTCGTTATAAGCCTAGTATTTTTAATAGATTTTTTCATTTTGGGACCGAAAATAGGTTCGATATAGGGATAGTTCATTATTTTAAAAATAGCAAAGTTCGTTATAACGATGGTATTTTCAATGGAATGGAATTGGGAATCGCCGCCGGTTCGTTATAAGAGAAGGTTCGCCATATCCGGGGTTCGTATTAGCGGGGTTTTACTGCATATATATTATATATTTCTGAAGGGGCTTTGTTGGAAGGATGGTCTAAATCGTTGGCTTCCAACCACTACGACCCAGGTTCGATTCCCGCATTTAGCACTTTTTTCTGATTTAAAAAAAAAATGCTCCAATGGCCTCCGATTCTTGCAAAAATCCAACCCTACCAGTGAGTGCAAGTAATCGAACAGGGCTCTGGCACATTTGTAAGTGCAAAGGCCAACTGTTTTTCACCTGTGTAGACATGTGGTGCACTTACAGTAAAAGCAGTCGCCTACTTCTACTCACCATGATTATCATGGCCTGTACCACATATACTAGGAACAAGAAAAATATATATTCATATATATTTCTGAAAATAGAGCAAACTATATTTAATATATATTGGCAAATAAAGCTTATTCAATCCAAAATATGACATTTTATTATCTAAAAAATATATATACAGCAAAACCCCTCTATAGTGAACCCCAATGGGACAGAGCTTTTGGTTCACTATAGCCACGGTTTGGCCATTTTTTTACTTTTCAAAATTTTTAGACCGTATAATTAAAGGACAGCCATACACACTGGAAGAGGTTTCCTCTCAATAGTGGTCACTTTGTTTTAATCCCCATAATTGACCAATTTCTTTACATTAATGCTGAATAATAATAGAAATCATTAGATGAGAGGTTCTTCTTGTCATTAGCATACATGTACCTCTATGTCTAATTTCAAAATCAACACAAATCCTAGGCAAAGTTTTATTAAATATATATTCAAAGATATAAAATGATTTTAAAATATCATTATCACATTATATAATACAATGTTTATTTGGAAAAATGGCTCTAACACCATGTTGCTTCAAAGCATTCTTCATTGCACCATTCAAATAAAGTTAGTGTTTTACTTCCATTTCATTTTTCCACATATTCTTCTAGGTCTAGATTTCGTTTTTTTTTTAAGCCTGTCATGCAAAACATTGCTGACTTTAAAATCACCATAGTTAATGGCATAAAAATAATTTTTGTTTCATCACGGGACCGTTTATTTGGACTTTTTTTTTTTTTAAGTTCTAAAACGTACTATCGCGATCGCGGCAAAAGTTGAGGTTGATTCTCTCTATAACAATTTTTAATAGGATTATATTTTATCTTTTATAATATAAAATTTATATTCTCTTATTTTAATATGTGTGTTGTTATCCAAGACGAGGCAAGATTAACTAAGCATTAGTTTATTTCCTATTATAATATTATATATATTATATACAAGTCAAAAGAGATCACTAGCAGAATATTATTCCTTTTGGTTTCCAGAGCTCAACAATCTATGAGCCTAATACTCTGCACATCTCCTCCCTTAACTTTACAGGAACCTTCGAGGTATCTTGACTGCCCTTCCATATCTTGTATGCACGGCTGGCATTGAAGGGAGGCTCTTCTCTGGATCCTGGTCTTGGTTGTCCCTCTGCATCCTTCCATCTCTTGTAGATGAGGCCGTTGGTGTAGGGCAATCCTCCTCGGTCTCTTGCTCCTGGTCATCCTTGCATCTCCTTGAGAGCCAGGTTGATGTCGAAGTGGGGGTCTCCTCATTTCTCTGCTCCTGGCGCTGGCCATCCTCAGAAGCATCCATGGTACTTCCCATTTTTGGTAGAGGTGTGAGGTGGAGTCTGTTTCGCCTAACTTTTCCTTGGGGAGTTTGTACCCAATAGGAACGCGGTTCTTCGGATTTGTGAAGAACTGTTCCTTCTACCCTTTGATCTCTAATCCAAACGCTGTCCCCTTGTTGAAGCGGAGGCAAGCTATGTACATCGTGTCGTTTATCATATAGGCGCTTCTGGTTGATCACCCTCCTTTTCTCTCTTTCTTGCAAAGCTTCGGAGTCCAAGTACCTTGGCATCAGTGATGATTCTATTGCTGGAACAGAGGTCCTAAGGCGTCGTCCCATTAATAGTTCAGCTGGACTATAACCACTTTCCAGGGGCATCGTTCTATATGCTTGAAGAGTCAGATAGCAATCTTCTTCTTTCTTAAAACTTTGCTGTATATTCTTGATAATTGCTTCAATAAATCCATTGCTTTGAGGGAATTTCGGGCTGGATGTGATATGTTTGAAAGACCATTCCTTTGAAAATTTTGAAAATTCGGAACCCAGAACTTTTTGGAATTGTGGTCCATTATCGCTTCTCACAGTCTCAGGTGTTCCATGCCTAGCAAATATAGATTTAAGACGGCTTATTATTTCTTGAGCAGTTAGATTTTGTAAAAGTGATATTTCTGGGTACCTGGAGTAGTAATCACATACAATTAGATACCATCTCCCATTTGGATAAAAGAGATCCATTCCGACTTTTTGCCAAGGCCTGATCGGAAATTCTGAGGGCATCAAAGGTTCATGCTTGGGTTTTCTCTCCTTCAAGCATTTTGTACACGACGAAACCATCCTTTCAATCTCTTGGGAAATTCCTAACCACCAAACCGATTCTTTTGCTCTAGATCTGCATTTATTGATCCCAAAATGGCCTTGGTGCAATTTCTCAAGGACATCTTTCCTCAATGACTTAGGGATTAGAATTCTTTGTCCTCTAAGAAGAAGACCATTCTGATAGGTCAGGTCCTCCTGAAATTGCCAGTATCCTCTTAGTGCTGGATCTACTTCTCTTTTATTCTTAGGCCATCCACTCATACAGTATTTAGCCAATTGAGAGCAAAGTGAATCTTCCTTTTGCTTTCTAGAAATATCCAAAAGTCTTTCTTCTGTTGCTGGAAATTCAATGGATTGGATGTACGCAGAAAGTTCTTCTTCCAATTCATCTTTATGTGGTTTAGACATAGGCTTCCTTGGTAACATATCAGCCACTATTTGCTTTTTGCCAGCAATGTGACTTATTTGATAAGAATACCTCATCATCCTCATTTTTAATCGCTGAAGTCTGGGAGTCATGTCTTCCAAGGATTTGGACGTAAAAATGGCAATCAGTGGTTTGTGATCTGTTTCAATATGGATTTTAATACCTGTAACATAATCCTTTAGTCGATCACAAGTCCATACTATAGCCAGTCCTTCTTTTTCAATTTGGCTGTATCTTTTCTCTGTTTCTGAAAGTGTTCTAGATACATAAGCTATAGGTTTTAAAGATCCATCAGGTTGTTCTTGTCTTAGAACCCCACCTAATCCAAATGAAGAAACATCAGCCGATACTATGGTCGTTCTTGAGGGATCAAATAAAGCGAGGTTAGGTCTAGATACTAACTCTTGTTTCAGCAGGTTAAAGCTCTTTTTCTGAGGTTCATCCCAAACCCACTCGTTTTTTGTACTTAGTAACGAATTCAAGGGTTGTAATTTATCCGCAAGGTTGGGAATGAATTTTCCTAAATAATTCACCATGCCTAAGAAAGACTTCAATTCTTTTGTTGATCTAGGCGCCTCCATTTTTGTAATAGCATCGAGCTTTTCTTCGTCAATGAATAAGCCTTCTGAACTCAATGTGTGTCCCAGGAATTTTACAGTTTTAACTCCAAATTGACACTTTTCTGGGTTGAGTGTCATCCCTTCTTCTTGGATTTTCTTCAAAACTTGGCGTACCCTTTCGTTATATTCTTCTAAGGAAGATCCGTATACTACAATATCATCCATGAAGCATACAACCCCTTCTATTTTGCCTAGAAGCTGAGTCATCTTTCTTTGAAAGATTTCTGGTGCCGACGTTATTCCAAATGGGATTCTTTTGAAAAAGAACCTGCCGAATGGCGTTATAAAGGTGGTTAGTTTTTGGGATTCTTTAGCTAACCCAAACTGCCAAAATCCAGAATTTGCATCTAGCTTGGAAAAATAGCAAGCATTTCCCAGCTGTCCCAGGATATGCTCTGTCGCAGGTAGCGGATAATTTTCTCTTCTTATATACTGATTCAGCTTCATTAAATCAACACAAATTCTTATTTTTCCTCCTGGTTTCGATTCAACCGCAACCATTCCCGCACACCACTCAGTCGGCTCTTCTACTGATTCAATGACTCCTAGCCTGGTCATCTCTTCAAGTTGTTCCTTTACCTGTTTAATTAAGGGAATTGGAACTCTCCTAGGGGTGCATAAAGCGTATGGTTTCGCATCTGGTTGTAGGGATATTTTGTAATTTATTTTAGCATGTCCTAAACCATTAAATATTTCTGGAAACTCTCTTTTTGGATTTAAAAAATTTGATGATAATTGCTGAATCATTCTCACAATGTTTAATTTTTCACTTGTCTCCCCAGAGAGAAGTGGCTGCTTTAGTTTATCAACAATGTATATTTTCGAGTTTAAGTGCTGGCCTTTATTTTGAAGTTTTACGTGGATCATTCCAACTGTTTCCAAGAGTATTCCATTTGGACCTTGTAATATTTTATCAGATTTTTCCAGTTTTATTCTTTGGAAACTTTGATAATAATATTGTAGGGGGAGCACGTTGACATCAGCTCCGGTGTCAATTTTAAAATTAATTTGTCTATTATTTACCTTAATTGGTACTATCCATTTCTTGGAATTATCCTCTATAGATCCCAAAAAAACTATCTCTGATTTTATTTCTTTTATGGCTTCTGATCTACATACTTTGGCATAATGGCCCTTTTTCTTGCATTTACTACAATACGAGTTCATAGCTGGACAATTTTTCCAATCATGATTATTTGAATTGCCACACCTGGTGCATCCATGTGATGACCCTCCCAACTGGTTTGACTTGAATTGTCTTATTTTTGGTTCGTGCCTTTTTGCTTCTTTTATATGATTAGGCATTTTCTTTATTTGATCTATAGAATCTTGTTGGTAAAGGCTAGACTGCTGTTCTTTGACACTTTCTAATTGCTTTGCCATTAGTGTGGCTTTTACTAAGGTCAAGTCTGTATCAAGTTGCATTCTTTCAGATAATGCTCTATCCCTTACTCCAACAACTATCCTATCCCTAATCAACTCATCATGTAACATCCCAAAATTGCAGCGCTCAGCTAGGCTATGGAGTGCTGTGATAAATTCATTCACCTTTTCCCCTTCCTGCTGACATCTTTGATTAAATCTTGCCCTTTCATAAATTATATTACGTCTTGGAATAAAGTGACTTTCAAAGCATTCAATAA